CAGTCGATATTTGTTCTGAATTTTGTCCAGTGAGCAAAGTAACAAATCATGGAAGCTAATCTTTAGTAGAAAACTTGTCTCCGCATTAATCTCAAAACCAGAGTTAAATTAGACAAGACATCACCTTCTTAGTATTTTAGAAAAATTCCTCCTCCTACCTGAACGGATATAGATGCATTTCAGTCCTCTTTTTTTTTTTTTTTTTTTTACAGCTTTGTTATGATTATCGGCTATGCTCACGCGAAGCTATTATTTGCCTCTCTCTCAACTTCAGACATGTTATCATGTTGCATCACAGCCTCGCGACTAATGGCACCAAGGTCCCACCAGGGCCTGGCTACTTTTGTGGGCTCTACTTGTCCCATCGAAAATCAAGTCCCTAGTTTTATTCATATTGAATCCTCCCTAGTGTGGTGGTGGCCATTCCACTTCGTTCGTGGATTGAAACAAATATCAGAAAGGCATGTTATGAACAACACTTTGTGTAGAGAGATCACAGGAGATTCTGGACATATCTTCGGGTCCAGCCTCTGGCGCGGATGTTTGTATAAGTCTTGTCGGTTAGAACATATACTTCAGAGCTTTGAAAAGCTCATTTTTCACTTGAAAATTGTGCATGTTTGTTGGATCATCGCTCAAGCTTGACGATTTTGTAGGCGCTGGATGGCGGACGGAAAGATCAGAAGTGCTTTGTGTGCTCTGTGCGTGCTTTTTAATAAGCCTAAGGACGGTAACGTCTGACGTGTAAATCTCAACAAAAATCCGGTGCATTACGAGGCCCATTATGAGAACGGGCAGTTTTTTTTTTTGCTGCGAGTGACTCTGAGCAAACTAAGCTAACCATATTGCATCCTGAATACGGAGAGTATCTGACTGACTAACGGTGCCGCAAAGGTAGTGCTTCAGTACTTAAGCAATTTTGATCCCTGAATTATTTCCGCCTCTCGGTTTCAGTGCGATCGAGCACTTCGTGAAAAAGTACATTCGCCCAGGTAATTTGAAATGTACCCCTACAATCATATGAACTCATAACAAAAGTCTATTTCATTTTTAGTCTCATTCCTTTAATTTGACAAAGATGAAATTCTTTTTTTTTTCCTCTTGAGATTCGTTTAGATAAGTGTCAGTACTATTCTTTGTAGGTTTTAGGTATTAGCTTTTAGACTTTTCTCGTATTCATGTCATGGGGCACGGTTTCACGATTCTGCTGAAATACAAACCGCACCAGAAATTTTCCAAAAAGCCATTAGTTTATGACCGTGATCGTGGGGAGGTAGGGAAAGTGATACACTAAGAATTGATCCACGGGAGGTGTTCAGTTGATGACATCAAAGAAATAAAGAAAGTGCGTTTGCTACATTCTTTTAGTTTCCTTCAGATTCTTGGATGTACTTTTTTCCTGCAACATAATCGTTACCGCTATCTGCTTTGTGCCTATCAGTTGATCTGTTTTGATTTCCCGTGAACTGTTTCCGGTTTGTAGGTCACTCAGATCGATATCTAAAATTAACACGAAATTCCTTGGCATAATATAGCGGTGCAAACACAACGTACTGTTTCAGTTTGTCCTTCTAGAGACTCTAATTTGGGTCACACAGTGGCTTCCACCCTTGGTCATCTCTTGTGTTCAAGAAACAAAAGCAGCAAGATCATATTTGTTCCACAGGGGAAAAGGTGTGTATGTATTGAAAAAGAAATTGTCGTTTTTATCTACAAAAAAATATGTTTGTTATGACTGGGTGAATTGTTTTATCCCCTTCGTGAGTTTCCATGGCTCTGGCCTGCGTTGAACAGTCTAGCAGTCGGTAAGTGTTATCAATGCCTAATTTCTCACCGAATCCCACCGGGAATTGTCCGTTTTATTTGAAATTATTTTGCATATCATCTCAATCATCATGGGATTCAATAGTAATTTCATACCGACAATTGAAGTACCCGAAACCATCGGCACTTTAAAATGGATCGATCAGTGATGTTGGTTGATGCTTTTTCAACACATTCTCTTTAGAGTTTTCTTGCGGATTGCCTGGCATTCTAACACGACAATCAAGCAATCGACTCCTCACCATCGCTGTCTCTGATTTGGTGGAAAATGACGAAAGGCTTGGCAATTTTCACGCTGCTCATGTTGTGTAATTCCATGTCGGCCGCACGCAAACCAAAGCACACTTTTCGAAGCGGTTCAGGATCGGCGAGGCGACCCAACATAGTTTTTATTATGACAGATGATTTGGACACTGCGCTTGGATCGCCGGAGGTAATGAAGAAGACTAGCAAAATTCTTCGCCAAGAAGGAGCCGACTTTGTGAACGCGTTCGTCACAACACCTATGTGCTGCCCTTCCCGCGCCAGCATTTTGACTGGTTCCTACGCACATAATCACAACACGTACACTAATAACTTGAATTGTTCATCTCCATCCTGGAGAAGAGGCCCAGAGAAGAAAACTTACGCCAAGTACTTAGAGTCTTCGGGATACGTAACGGGTAAGTTAATACATTGATCCACTCTTCTAGAACTATAATTATACTTTATCAACACATTGTCTGGTGTCATAGAACTTCACTCAGGGGAATACTTCACATTGAAATTCTGAAATCGAAACCAATAATTTTTATGGTTTCTTTAGTACAGCTCCTCTGACACAATTGACTACATTGAGCCATCGCTGCTCACGCTGGTTATCACAAATCTGCCATCTTACAATTAGCCACAATAGAATTGTAATGAATATCACATCTCGTTGACATTCTTTTGGTCGTCCGATTTTCAAACGATGTTTTGTTGCTTGACTAACTCTCATTGTCTTTTTAAGTGAATTACGTCAGCACTGCCGGCATTTTCTAAAGTATTTCATGAAGCAGCTACAGCAAAGAGCTGATCCCTAGAAAGTCCGGTCAGGCTGCAGCTCATATGTAAACCTCTTTATCAAAACTATTACCCAGCGCATGTTTGGCGGTTTAGCTGTGTTTTGGTCACAGCAATTCATGGGTCAATGTTGTATTTTCATTAGAGATTATTTAATCAGTTAATTCACTTCGCAAGTAGCGATAAGAAAAGAACGAAAACTTCTCTCTTCAAAGAAACATTTCTTCTTATTTCGACCAAGTATGCTTTAAACCAAGAAGCTGTATTTGTTTTGATTTCATCGAAGAAATGAAATCAGAGAAAATCGTTTAAAATCCATCCTCTGGCTAAACCTCCGCAATAAGTCGATCTCAAGGTCGTTTAAAGATTTAAGTAGCTCTGACCCAATGCAAAGGAAATGCTCCTATCAACAGGTTAAAAACTCCCTTGATCTGAAAACTCAGTGTACTCAGTTGCTTTTGCTCTCTCTTAATGTTTTGGAATCTTTCCACACCATAAGTGCACGATCTTTAAACTGACTGAAAAGTCAGTCATTAAAGGTTCAGCGACTTGCATTCTGCTCTTCACTTTTGTTTTACCAGACAAGTTATTCAAGGAATGTCGCCTTTGGTTGAAGGTTGTCTTATCTGACCAAATCTGCAAAAAAAACTGTTTTACAGGACTGATAGCGGTCTGTTTTACCTGTCTACTGAAACGATTACTCGAAGTGTATCATTGAAATTGCTTGTAATTGCATTTAGCTAAATGCGCACTAGAGGATTTTGATGAAGTGAGACGTCCTACAAAGGAATCATTTGCATATTATTCATTTATCATTTTAAGATTGTAGTTGTGCAATACTTTCGTTGAGGCCCCCTGATGGTGGTCGACTTTTAGTGGAAATCAAATAACAGCGGCTCACCGAATTATTAAACAATGTAAAAGCATTTGCCGTGACGTTTTCCGGGATGTACGTTGCTTCCTTAGGATTAATCACCAACGGCAAATAAAGGATTCAGTCCCTTTCCGATATCATGAAATCGTGCCAAGGTAAATGGTCTTCTCTTAAGCGAGCTAAATCTAGAAAAGGTGGAAGAGTGTCAACGGAGTTATAACGAAACATCACGAATTTCCTCTCTTTAAATTGGTAGCCTGTTTGCGATGAAGATATCACTCTAAGTTTGCCGTAACCTTTGCTCCTGATTCCGACTACACAGACATTCTATGAACAGACTCGGCAGAAAAAGATGAACATTTAGCACTTCTATCTGAAAAATTCCGACATTGCCATGAATTGTTTCTATAATCTGGAACACTATTCTTTTCCTGTCAAGGTTATTTACACTCATGTGTAATAAAGTAAGCTTTGCAGAAAAGTTTTCCGTATGATGAAGCAAACAGAACGAGACAAATTTATGTACAGAGACAAGGTCATATTTTTTGCTGCTGTGGCAGTCTTTCACCACTTCGGTTAGAAGCATAATACTTGCGAAGGGAAACGATGAAAACGCACAGTAATTAGTACCATTTGTAAGGAATAATGAAGACTTCTTTTTAGCAAAGCTTCTCTGGCATTGTTTACCTTACTGCGTAGTTTTGTTTTATTTTATTTTATAATTACAAACGCCTTGCACTTTTCCTCAATTGAACTTTAACAAGCTGAAAGGAGTTTTCACTCAGACAAGCTGAGCTCGTTTGGTTTGAAGGGTTCTTGCCGACGAGTCCATATATGACTGTGTGAGGTTCATTGGAAAGCATTTTTGTATTGATCCATGTTCAAACTGATCACGGACTCAAACAGGAAGGCGTATCAGCCAGCTATTTGGATGACGTGCCTTAACCCAGAATTGAAGTTGTTTTTTAAGACTGTGGAATTTCTCAGTGCATTTATCTAAAAGCAAGTATCTCCTTTCGTGAAACTAACAAAGAGACAAAAATTCCCTGAATGAACGTGATTTGATCTGTCTCTCTCGCACGCTCACTGTCTGTCTCTTTATTTTATTGCCCTATTTTCTTTGGTCCGTCCTTTGTAATTTACTGTACCGCAATGGTGTCAACAGCAGAAACGTGACCATTTGAATATTAAAAATAAAATCTAGATCTTACTAAAATTACTGAGGTGAAAAATATGAAAAAGACATTCTAACAATAGATTCACACTAATTGGGGAAGCTTTATTCCCTCTGCCATTACAAAGTCATTGGGTGTTTGTCAAATAATTTCCTACTCTGTTTTTTTCCTAAAAGGAAAGCGAGAATTATATCAATCGATGAAAACTATCAAAACTAGAACTTTTATTGTAGTCGGGGTTAAACGCTTCTCCAATTCATAGAAAGTTCAACTCATAATAGTGCTATAAACATGTTAATTTTTCATTTACCGGATTCACAACGAGATTATTCTCTTCTTTTTTTTCGAAGTGCGGGGGGCATTGACTATCGATTTTCCGGATATTTTTTTTCCGGACAACACAATTTTTGTCCTGGAAAACTGAGAAAGAACTTTCTTGCAACATCTTACCTAGAAAGGGAAGTGCTAATGAGATTCATCCACAGCAGCTTCTCATACCATCACGATCTACCGACACGTGTAATTTAATATCTTAGTGGGGCAAAAAATTGTTAAATTGTTTGATGAAGATTTTCCTCTCTTGACACAACAATACGGATATGAAATTTTCATGCAAATCCCCTTTCGAAGATCTTTTTATTCGGGTGTCAAACTCTGAAGAGGGCCAAATGGCGGTGATTCTCACAGAACGAGTTTGGCCTCCACCTTCGTTGAGAAAAAGTGAAAATAAAAACGAACCGGAGAAAGCTGACATGAACCATGGAGGTTTTTTTGTGGTATAATTTTAGCCTTATATACCAAACCAAAGTGCAACAGTACAAACAAGCTCTATAAATAGTATCATATATGGTCGAAAAACTTCTTGCATTCAAGAACCGTTTTTCCGTTCTTTTGTTGTTTTTCTAATGTGACCTGGTAAGATACACGGTGACTGTATGTTGAAAGGAGCAGTGTCTTCACCTACGCACGTTAATTATTTCATTGAACTATGAAATTTTCATCCAATTAAAGAATCTTTCAGTAGGTTACTTCAGAATGCAGTATGTCAATTGATCACATATAAAAGGCACAAAAGAATTATGCAAAAGGCATCTTTAACACTCGTTTTGATGAGAACTTCACTAGAGCATTAAGCGTTTCTGATAGAGCATTTTACACAGCTGTATTTACAGTCCCACAGTTTCACAGTTGTGTAATGGATGTCCTTTCTGAAGTACTGAACCAAAATAGAATCTTCACGAACAACGAAACTGAGTATTTTAAATACTTTAGCAGAATTCATTCTGTAGATAAACAACACATATGCGCTAATCAGGATTATAATATCGTGGTATTTTGTGCAAACCGGACAATACAATTTTTGTGCGCGTTAGCAGGGCGGGAAGAGGATAAGTGTCTTTACTTTAAATGTTAATCTTTTCATTGCATGTGTAAGTAATAATTGGTGCGAATAAACAGTAATCAGATTTGCGCTGAACAATGTTTAAAGCCAGTTGACCCTAATTGCTGGGTTGGAACAACGCATCTTAAACGAAGCACGCACTGTAACCCACACATTGTACATTTTCCACATATGACCTACTAAATTGCAATTGATAATTTTGGAAAACCTCTTGCAGTTTATTTTCTTTAAACCCAGCCAGCTGCACGATGAGAGGGATATTTTGCATCATAATGGCGATAACCGTCGGTTATCTTCGTGTCACAGGTCCATCCGCCTTACTGCGTCGCCTTTTTAATGTCTTTTAAGTTCGTAAGAAGTGTGAACAGAATGTCAGTCCTGTCTGAGAACTTATTTAAAGATCTACTGGTTGGATTTACAAGTCAGACGTTATCGTATACGCCTAATACAATTGTCAGCGAGCCAAAACACCAGATAAACGAATCAATTATTACAACAAACAGTCCAATCTCATTTACGTAAAAGGTTTTTCTTTAACTTCACTCGTAAACCTTGACTGAGGTTCTAGTAATTGTTTGTTTTGCAATGCCTGTCTGATTTTTTTTTATCGGAATAAAACAAAACTAAACGGCACATTCTTCTTAGCTTAGTTTTGCGTATTTTTCTCCAATTCTTATACATCTTTAGATCCCTCTAGCAATAACCCAATCGCATATGAATTGTCAGATCTGATGGACATGCAAGTGAACAATACGATGGGAACGTTAATTTTAACACGCTCAAACTCAAATAGTCAGCAAACATCAAGCAGCAGCCACTAAGACTGTTATTGTCCTCTCCGGCATTGGCCTATGAATAGTGCGCTCAAATAAGTTTAAAGTCACAAATTGCATGCACCACAGACTTGCTTGGTCACGGGAAGGAAATTTAAAAAGGTCTTTGGGGTTTTTAATAACTATTAGTATGATAACAATTAGGACTAATTTCTTTTTACTCTTAATGGTATTAGGAAGGATTAGCTTTTGACCACGGAGATACAGATATACAAAAGAAAGATTTTATTTAATCTTTCTAGAATCTCGTCCAGGCGTCGCTGTTTAATGCTCAATAAACAATTGATACTCTTAGTTGCGTGTCGATGATTCTTGATGAAATTTCCACTTTGTTTTTACGTCAGACCATGACTATTGGTTGAACCTTTTCACGGAATCGGCCTACCTGATATACCTGCATGGGAAGTTGTTCAAGTGATTCGTTTGTTAAGACATAAAAAAACGGCAGCTATGGGGCAGTTTTTTCGTCTGTAATACATTTTTGCGAATAGATCTGTTAGACATTAAAATCGTGACATGTTTTTATCATAAATTTTCTTTTGACCAGTGACTGGCCATCTTATTCTCTGCGAGTTTTTGTCTTCAAGTGAAGCAACCTTTATGTGATCAGTTGTTTAAATTCTAATGGAGACATAGACAAGTTCAGATCAAGATGGTTTATCTTCCTTTCGCAGGTTACTTTGGCAAATATCTAAACGAGTACGATGGGAGCTGGGTACCAGCGGGTTGGAAAAAATGGGAAGGACTGGTGTTTAACTCCAAGTTCTACAACTACACAATACGACGCAACACGTACAAAGAACGACACAAGATGGATTATGGGCAGGATTACTTCACTGATTTCATCACTAATAGGAGTATCTCTTTCATAAAACGGACAAAAGAGAACAAACCACACAGTCCTTTCCTAGCTGTGGTGAGTCATGCAGCCCCTCATGGCCCGGAGACGCCTGCTCCTCAATACAGTACAGCATTTCCTGGTGCCCAAGCTCCAAGGTATGACCAAGATTATGTTTAAGGAAGCCAGTATCTAATATCACTGTAACATTTTGTCTCTTTGTTGCAAGAGTTGATTCATACAAAAGAACTAGGTTTTTCTGTCATTATTTGTTGGTTTGTTTTCTTGTCTACCGTTCACAAAACAAATTGTTCGTTGTTAGGGTATTCTGAACATATTTGTTCCCCTGTAATTTAACCCTTAACTCCCGTGAGTTACCAAGACAGAATTTCTCCTTACAATATCTATACAATATCAACCAGATAAGTGATGAGAAGAAAGAAAAAGATCAATTTGGGGATAATTAGTTGAATCAATACTAAATTCTCTGAACTAACATTACATGAATTGTATGTTGATAGTAAGGAGAATTACAAATTTAATTTGGGAGTTAAAGGGTTAAGTTAAGACAGAGTAAAAATCTCTTCATGTTTACATTTTCTCGGAGGAAGAGCATATGTTGCAAGCCGCTATCGAACCTTACCAACCCTGTGCAGTCTACCAATCGCTTACCACACACAGCTGAGCGATCATATCGTCCTTGTGGGGTAACGTTTTGCACTTTTTATAGGTATCCTAACTGGAATTATATATCACTGGACAAACAATGGATCATGAGGGAAACACCTGCGATGAGTGCACAGAAAATAGCTTTCGTGGATCTGCTCCACCGCCGTCGCCTTCAAACACTGCTTTCAGTTGATGACTCAATCGGGCGAATCTTCCACACTCTCCAGTCCCTAGGGATTGAAGACGAAACTTACATATTCTTCACATCAGATCATGGTTACCATCTTGGTCAGTTTGGTCAGGTCAAAGGCAAGTCCATGCCATTTGAGAGCGACATAAGAGTTCCTTTTTACGTGAGAGGACCAATTATTCCCAAGAATATCAGGTGGGACACAACACTCTGTTTCACTTTGATTACAGTTTTTTGTAATCAATCGTAATCAATCAACCAGCGTCCTTTGCCTTGTCCTGTTCTTTTTCTCCTCGTTCTTCTTGTTCCGAGTCCTTCCTTGCCTCCCTTACTGCTCCCCTTTTTGGAAGATACAGCCGCGTCATTTGTTAAGTTAACAAATCTTTGGTTAGGAGAGGACTTTTGACAAATTGTGAACCCAATTGCAAACCACAAATGTGTAAAGTGAGTCGTCGACCTGTAAGGTTTCGAAGAGGATTTCAAAGTGTACAGGAGTGATAAGAAGAAAAACAGAGTTAACACCCTTAATTGATCGTTAATCTTTTAATTATCGCTAGTTGTTAGGTGTTGACCCACTGAACCCTAACACCAGTATGTTTATTCTGTATACTGTTCTCTATATATTTCCTAAGGTGCTGACATGGAGAATTTGTTTAAAAAAATCCAGAGTTTTGTTCGTTGGTGACCATCTCCTTTATTGTTGTGACCTTAATGTGTGATTCAGGGGTGATGTTCTGAGGAGAAAATAGATGCTGATCACTCTTAGGGGTGGAAGGTTTAAATTGATCTGACGAGTGATGTTGACCCCAAGTTGATCTTGTTTGTTATGCAGTGTAACAGACATGGTCTTGAACATTGACCTGGCACCCACATTTTTGGATATTGCCGGCATTAAGATACCCAAAGACATGGACGGCATGTCTGTTATGAAACTGTTCCGCAGGACGAGATACGGACGAAGAGCAAAAAGGTACACGTTTTTCCCGAAACTGTGGAATCGAAGTTTCTGATATTCATGCGTACTAATTGTCAATCACTATTAGATTGGTAGGTAATGAAAGAGTACATCAAGTGTTCTGTACATGCGCTGATCATTGTTGTGATATCATAGAGTGTAAAGCTGTAGAGAGCTGTCTTTTTTCTTGAAAGATATTTTGACGAATCACCTAGTTCAGGATAATATCATTCCTGACTGAGAGGGGTATTTTAAGCTTTCCACAGAAACAAACTTAGCACAAGTTAAGCTTTCAGTGCGTTTGTTGTTTACTGATCTGTTTGTTTGTATATTTTCCAGGCGAACACATGTTGTATGGAGGGACACAATTCTCATAGAAAGGTCTCGAGGGTAAGCAGAATAGTTCAACACACGACAAACTTAGCACAAAAAGTTAGCTTACTTTTGCCCTATTAATGAAGTATTTTGCGTTTCTTGTGTAAGAAATTCTTAAGGCCCTGAGGATTTTTTTAAAATTCACAATGAAAAGTTTTATGTCTATTCTAGAAAACCAGTTTTAGTTTGGTTCGTTTTGGAACCATTTAACTGTATCGCGAATGCTCAAGCACCACACATTTACCACTTGGTCAAAGGGAAATTTGATGATTTCAAAAGCAAGAAAAGAAACATTATTTTGTTGTTTTGCAGATCAATTTGCTTATCAGTAGCCACGCTGAGATAATTTCGCGAGCAATTTCGGCCGCTGA